TCAAAACTTCGCAAGGTGCGTTTTTCAATGTCATCTATACACTCTATTATCCAATCAATCTTGTACGGACCTCTGCTAGCTTCTAACATATATTGAAAATATTTCTCCAGGATTCTCGAAAACTCGAAGATTTCAAAATTCTCAAGGTAGGAAATATATATCCCACTGGGCCTCAAAGGGTTAAGAAAGAAACTAAATAGTATACTTTTTCGTATAAAATAAAAGTTTGAAAATCGTACTATGACTGTGAAAGTATCTGTCGGATGTCGATTAACTTCGATTCGAATCCAATTGTAATAAGTCGTTCTCATACAAGACATTACATGACACTAATCAATTTTTTGATATGCTTCATTTATTTCGTTTTTGTTTTTGTTTTTTTTTATTGTTATATAACGACATCATCACGAAGCTCTTCATCTTGTGTTACTGAAAAAATTCATTCGCATTATTCAAAGGATTCTTTTATGCAAAAGTAGAGAGAATTCCATGATACATGTTTTAAAAAGTCATCTTATTTTTATTTCTCTTAAACTAATGAAACATGTGACCATTACATAGTGCTTCAGGTTTAGTCTAATAAGAAAATCATCAAAACAATTCAGTCTTATAAAGAATTTGATGGAGCATCTTTTATCAAAACAACATTCAAGGTTATAGGATTTATATTTGTGTTAAGATATTAGTTAAAATTAGATCATTTTATTTTGTTTTGTATACATATATATATATCAAAAACTAGATGAGCTGGAATGATCTGACTTTCATTAAATTATAGTTCATAGTCTTTAGTAGAGTGCTAGAAAGTTTTAAGTCAATCCATATATTTCTTGAAGTTTTTTGATAATGTAATCACAGCTTGTCATTTTTCATCCTTTCAAAATTATCCGACACATATTTTCATAAACTGTTGGAAGCCTATTCTAGGTTAAAATTTTCTTTATGAGACAAGGGTTAATAGAAAAAATTATGCTCTCCATGAGACGTAATTTTTTGTCGCAGCATTCTTTTGACACAAGGCTAAAGTAACCATGTTCTTTTTACCAATGCTGTGAATTTTCATCAAAAAAATGACAAAAGACGTTTTTATCATGTGATGTTCACTGAATTTTATCGTTCAATGTATCATTCAGAAAAGCACACCAGAATTCATGAAGTATTCAATTTGAATAAAAATTTTATATTGACAAATTCACTTATGCTATATACCCATTACTGTACAATAAATAGTAGCAGTCAAAAATTAACCGTAATTTGAGCTACAAACTAGATGTATATCTCACCAAACGAAGATGTATTTAATGAAGCTTAACAGAATCTGTTGTTTTGACTTTCATTCTCCACCTACAAAAATGTGACGCGCAAAAATTAGCTATATATTTGGTGAGATATGTGCTTAGACCATTACTTACAGAAAGAGATTCTCTACAAATTCACATTGTTAAAAAATTTCTTATATCACCTACAATGAGTGAATGAGACACAATACAAGAGAAAGCACATCTGTGATTGGTATATAGATAGAAGACGACCAACACAATTTTACAGTTTAAAGTATCTATTCAAATTGAATACTTGATGCATTTTGTTGCCTTTTTTATAAAACTTTTCAGCATCGATAAAAAGAACATGATTTTTTAAACTCAGTATCAAAGAAATGCTGTGACAAAAATTACACCTCATGTAGAGCACATTTTGTTTTCTATCAAAACATGCACCATTAAGAAAATTTCAACAATAGAATAGACATTGAACAGTTTGCAAAAATGATTCTTGTTAGCAATGTGAGTAAGAACGAATATAAAAACAAAAACTCCTCTTGTAATTGAATAAGAAGTTCTAAAGTCAATTCTAAATGTTACTAATCTTTAACTGGAGATCTTGAGATGTTTTGTAAAATAAAAAATTTCGTTCTGAAACATGAACAAATCTCTAAAAGAAATAGTTTTAGCAAGATCATTTTTAAGAGTTAGATATTGACGAAAATTTCATCATAGATATAGTTTGTGACATGGAATCTATTCTGAAATTCTTAGACTTGTTTATCATTGATTAAGAATTGATGAAACTATTCTGTGCTGATATAAGAACGAAGAGATCATTCGAAGTGATGTATCACTATTGAGTTCATGTTTTGGACATATAGATATAACATGTCGACTAGAATACTTCCAGACTTATAGGTTTTCTCTAGAAAGTTATGAGTAGAGTATTTTAAGATTTTTACCATAAGATAAGATATTGATACGAAAATAGAACAATGTATTTTTATACTTAAAAATTTCAGTTAAAAAGATAATATTCTTCTTGAAAAATTCAATAGATTTCAAAAACAGTTAGAAGAATTGAAAGTTGAATACTTCAAGAAAGAATCATTTATGTTGAGTGAAACATTTTGAATACTTTTAGGGTCATCAAACTTACTTATAGATAAAATTTCAGGTGAAAAATATTTTTTTACTAATATCTCATCTTATGATAAAAATCTAGTAAAATTATTGTAACTTCGTAAGAAAGATTTTGATTATGAACCGGAATTCTTTTTCAAGATATTTTAGTTGAAAGGTTTTTTTATCTGTATGCCTAAAACATAAACTTACAAGTAATACATCATTTTGGATAGCTCTTTCGCATGTTCAAGAGAGATTTTGAAGGTAATGATATGACAAGGATTTTTTTTTAAATAGCAAATAACAACCAACTGCATGAAGAGAACACTGTAGTTGTAAAAAGTTACACTTCTTCAATAAATATTCAGTATTAATTCTATTGAGTAACATGAAAAAATATGGCAGTAGATTGTAGGTCAAAGAACAAATTTCCGTATACCACGCATGTCTTCCTGACCGTCAACATTTTTCTTTCATTGTAAGAACAAAATGTCCTCAAAATACAACCGGAGGAGAAAGACAAAAGTAACCACACATGAAAAATAATTGCAACTGGGAAACGGAGGAGATCGAGAGAGAGAAATAGAAAACTAATATCCGCATTATGGAAACAAGCGACAATAGTTACAGTAAGAAAAGAAACTACTTATGAAAACTAAAGTTTTCCTAAACTAACAGATTACATTCTTCATCTATACACATTGAAGATGCTTTATTCTCTTCCTCATTTTGAAGTTTATTTGATTTCATTAAAATTCAATTAGAAACTAACAATCATGTAAAAGAATATCATAATCAATTAAGGCCTTGTTACTACAAAACATTTAAATATTTAGACCTGGATAAGATATATTCAGACGTCAGAAGAAATTAACAATGGTTCTGGTTTCAAAAAAAAGAACAATAGCAATAACGTTTGGCACGTTCTATAATAACCACATCAACAACAAATGAAAACATTTTGTTTCCACATTTTTCCATGGGTTTTTTTCAATGTTAATAATTATCAAAAGAG